CCAAACCTTCTCATCAATGTTGTCCGGTTTCCCGTCCAACTCCAACGTATCTTCCAAATTTTGCGCGTTGAGCGCATCCATGACTTCGCATCGCCAAAGTCCAAAATTGTTTGTGCCATTGAACTTTTCCACATCAATCTTCATTGAGTGGATATTCAAGCTTTGGACGGTCTTCACGCCGGAAGTACTGCCCACAACTCCTTCTTTCTCGGCCATAATCCTCAAGGCACCACCAAACCAATGCGGAAACAAACGAGAAATAGATCCAAACTGAAAAAGACGAGATTTTTACAAAAAAAGATCCCACCTTTATCACCAAACGAAGCCCTAGATGAACTTCCAAAGCGATCTACTCCTCCAAATAGCCCAAGCGTTGCCCGTGCTCTGATACCACTTGTTGTGACTGATGCTTTGAGAAACCAAACCAACGAACGCCGAGAGAAAGACCAAACAAAACACAAACACCAAGGTTTTACGTGGTTCGGCAAATTGCCTACGTCCACGGGGCAAGAAGGGGGTGGGTTTTCACTAATAGAGAAGGAGAGTACAAATTGAGATTACAAATCGCTCAAACGAACCAACTAATCTCACCAACAAATCTCTCAATCTCTCAACCAATAACCCTAACAAATAGCTCAGAAAGATCTCTCTTTTTCTGTGCTCCAAAACCCCAAAACTCTCCTCACAAAACCCTCAAATCGTATTGGTATTTATACCAAAACAGAAACCCAAACAGACTGCAAATAGGAACCTGAACTTTCCAAAAAACCCGTCATAAGTCGACTTATCAGTCTGCATAAGTCGACTTGGCAGAGCGAAAAACAGCAACTGGAGAAGAGATCATAAGTCGACTTATCAGACCTGATAAGTCGACTTGGCAGAGCAAAAAACCAACAATCCAGAGCAGAACGTAAGTCGACTCATGCACCAACATAAGTCGACTTACCATAAGTCGACTTATGCCTGTGCATGAGTCGACTTATGACCAAAAATCTGCTTTTTCCAATTCTTCTCCACAGCCCAGACGTCCAAACCTCTGACTACGAGAGGATGATAAGCTTGTGTCTCTTCTGACACATACGTATATACATTCGTAAGTTAGGATGATCAATCTATCTCAACCCACATTTTTACACACTGCTAAATCATGCTGTTGTTGACGTAAGAACAAAGAAACAAGTACTTCTGTGTAACTCAAAGCTATCAAACAGTGAATGGCTATGATGAAGTTGAATGGGAACTAAAGAAGCTTGATTGCTGGTGTGCCATCATTTCTAAGATGAAGAAAAATGATAAATTATGACATACTTCAAATCCTATATTGAGGAGAGACGAACTAAAGCCCAAAAGAAGATTGAAGGGCAGCAAACTTCACTGCAAGTTTATCTTCATAACTATATAACTTGGAATTGGATGTTTTTTGTAATGAAGCCGTCGCAACTAATATCAAGATTCAATATCGCTTCATCCGTCACCAAGATCGAGCTCTAACGAAGACCATTAGCTTGGGTAAAATAGCTTAGGTTTATACTTTGTGCATTGTACTTATAAGCTCAATTCTCTTCTCATGCCATTTTCGTTTATATATTCACTTGTGCATTTTGATAGGGGGAGCACTCTTTATTATGTGTATACTCACTTATGCGTACATGTAGAGGGACCTTTCGCTCTTGTTTTGTTTATTTTCCCCCATTTTGATGTTGCCAAAGAGGGAGAAACAAGTTGGTTTGTGAGTATTTGGGAATATTTCATTTTATTTCATGATTTAAATATTATTTTGAAGAATTGTTTGTCATCATCAAAAAGAGGGAGATTGTTAGGACTCATGTGTGTGAGCCTACTTCTCTAATCTTGTTTTGATCATTAACAAACAATTTCTAATCTTGTTTCTAGTGTTTGTGTTTTTATTATATGCTTTCAGGACATATTTGAGCATAACGATGATATTCTTGGAATTGAATGTTTTTGTAATGAAGCCGTTGCAACTAATATCAAGATTCTATCATCGCTTCATCCGTCACCAAGATCGAGCTCTAACGAAAACCATTAGCTTGGGTAAAATAGCTTAGGTTTATACTTTGTGCATTATACTTATAAGCTCAATTCATACATATGCACATTTTTGAGAATATACTAAGTTTTTGGATTATTGGCTTAACAACAATGTTACATATCTCTTATCAAGTCCATTAATCCACCCAAATAATTTTCCAAACTTGCATATGGTCATTGTGTTAAAAACAAGCAATTACGAACTCGTATGTCAAACACTTTTGTAAAATGAAAAGTTTTTACAGATGGAAATAGCGTTTTCAAAAATTTCTTCGTTGACATGTTTATCTTCATGGTTATAAACGTTTCCCAAAATTTTGCTATTTTTGGAGTCAATTTGTTATGTTTAATTGATTTTTCAAAACCGAATTTTCTACAAACAGCTCCTAGAAAATCTCATGTATCAGTTCCGGACGACCGAACACATGACACCGGTCGACCGACCAAAGAAATATTTTTTAGCATCATGTTCTTAGGGTCATCAGTCGACCGATACTCATGTATATCGACCGATGAACATCCTTTGGTCGACCGGCCCTTGACCATCGGCCGACTGAAAATGTGTCTGTTGCACAATAACGGTTAGTTTCCAGATTTTATTCTTTTATTAGTTTGCCTCGCTTTTTGTGCGTTCCTCTGGTTTGGGCTGATGTGTTGAGAGACTATATATAGTTCTCAACACTTAGATTTTATAATGGAAGTTGAGAACAAGTTTTATAAGTTTTTAAGAGTTTCAAAGATAAATCAAAAGTGTTTTTATTTGTGTTTTACAAGAGAAGAATTGCTACAACGTATTTGGGGATATCTACCTTAAATTTCTATCTCTCTTGTTTATCAGAGAAGTTTTCTAAACTCTTTTCTTCTAGAAAATTATTATTATCGTTTTTCATATATTCTTGCTAGATTAATTTGAGTTTGATTTTATTTATATTCATTGTTTACACACACACCGCTTAAGCTTAAGTATTTTCACATATAGTATAATTATTAGGTTGTGATGTTGTAACATTGAGAGTGAGCTTAATTGAGTTCTTATCTATTAGAGAACAAATCTTGTATTTATGCTTTCATTGTGGAGAACACGTTGTAATACATAAGGACATCGAGAGAAGTGGTTGGTGAGAGACGGGGTCAATGCTAAAAGGAGTGGCGTCGGTTGTAAATCCTAGGGAGAGGTCGTAATTCCGAGCACTTGAGAAAGGTGACACAAGCTAAGCCAACACTTAGAGGGTATTTTGTGTGATTGCAAGTGTGTGAGTTGTAAACGTTTATCGGTGGCGTTGAAAACTGATTGTGTAACTTTTTGTGCTGATAGTGAAGATTCTTCTCGAGAGTGAGGAGCGGAGACGTATGTCAAGGATGACCGAACTCCGTGATCATTTGTTTGTGTTTGTGTTTGGCATTGACACACTTATCATTGTCTCATTGTTTATATCGTCTTTTGCTCATTGTATATCCTTGCATATTTTATTGTATATCAAAATTGCTAGGATATTGCATTAAAAGTTTTTATTTAGCATTAATATCGGATTAGATTAGCAATAATCCTATTCACCCCCCTCTAGGGAACTTTCATTTAATATCAGAGTTCGATCTTGGTGATGGATGAAGCGATGTTGAATCATGATATTAGTTGCGACGGCTTCATTACAAAAACATTCAATTCCAAGAATGTCATCGTTATGCTCAAATATGTCCTGAAAGCATATAACAAAAACAATAATAATAATTTGCTAGAAGAAACGATTTTAGAAAACTTCTCCGATAAACAAGAGAGGTAGAAATTTGAGGTAGAGATCCACAAATACATTGTAGCAATTCTTCTCTTGTAAAACACAAATGAAAACACTTTTGATTTATCTTTGAAACTCTTAAAAACTTGTAAAACTTGTTCTCAACTTCCATTATAAACTCTAAGTGTTAGAATTATATATAGTCTCTCAACACATCAGCCCAAACCAGAGGAACACAAAACTAACTGTTATTGTGCAACGGACACATTTTCGGTTGACCGATGGTCAAGGGTCGGTCGACCGAAGGATGTTCATCGGTCGACTGATACATGAGTATAGGTCGACTGATGACCCTGAGAACAAGATGCTGAAAAACCTTTCTCTGGTTGGTTGAACGGTGCCATGTGTTGGGTCGACCGGAACTGATACATGAGATTTTTCAGGAGCTGTTTGCAGAAAATTTGATTTTGAAAAATCAATTAAACATAACAACTTGACTCTAAAAATAGCGAAATTTTGGGAAACTTTTATAACCATGAAGATGAACATGTCAACGAAGAAAATTTTAAAAACGCAATTTCCATTTGTAAAAACTTGTCATTTTGCAAAAGTGTTAGAAATACGAGTTCGTAATTGTTTTGACACAATGACCATATGCAAGTTTGGAAAATTATTTGAGCGGATTAATGGACTTGATAAGGGAGATGAAACATTGTTGTTAAGCTAATAATCTAAAAACTTAGTACATTCTCAAAATCGTGCATGTGCGTGAATTGAGCTTTATAAGTATAATGCGCACAAGTATATACCTAAGCTATTTTACCCAAGCTAATGGTCTTCGTTAGAGTTCGATCTTGGTAATGGAAGAAGCAATGTTGAATCTTGATATTAGTTGTGACGGCTTCATTACAAAAACATTCAATTCCAAGAATGTCATCGTTATGCTCAAATATGTCCTGAAAGCATATAATAAAAACACAAACACTAGAAACAAGATTAGAAGTTGTTTGTTAATCGTCAAAACAAGATTAGAGAAGTAGGCTCACATACGAGTTCTATCATGAAGGACCGCAAACAGTATCATGATCCATTCCCAGCCAGAAAGGTTCCATGTTAATAAGCTAAGTAAACGCGCAGAAACAAAATCCTTACTGTTCAGCAGTTTTGAAGGGTGGAACATCATCTATGAAAAATCTTAAACCAAATACAGAGGAGGAGAGAACTGCAAAACTCTTTATTACTCAGACACCATCTTGAAGAATAACAGTCTTAAGAAAAGAGCAAAAGTGTTTACAGCCACTAGCTTATTGCTATACAATTATGCAGAATCTTGCAGTTGAAAAGGCACATCACAATATACATAAAAGTACTATTTACAGTGTGCTTTAGTGACATTTATTCCTCAGGGGAATGAAATTATTATATATACAAAGAAGTACAAAAGCACGCTGGACTATTATGAAGTTTCACAAGTTATCAGTACGCAAGACCTCCAGAAAACACATCCCCATCATGAAGTAGGCTCTCTGTTAGCCAATATCCATCCCAAGAACCACCAACTCTCTGTTAATTAATGGACGCATTTAATCTAACCATGTAATTTCATGCTCTCATAACCATAGCAGAAGGAAAAAATAAATCAAACCTGAACCATTGAGAACTGGAAAATCTCTTCTTCCTCAGGTCGAGACCCTTGTACCCAAACTCTTTGTTTAAATCGATTCTGTTAAACATGGCCATGATTAGAAGATAATCTCACTTATCTTCAAACTCATAAGAAACTTTTCTATGCACCTAACAATTGGCACTTGAATCTAGTATATACATAAATGCATCTTTCGTTATTGATGTTAGTAATACCTCTTTCACCCACAAACTGCTTAGGACCTTTCTCTCTTTGTGACAAAGCAGAACCCGATAATTTGAATGGTGAAAAATCCTTCTAAAACGCTCAAACTACAAAATTAAATTAGAGAAACCCTGAGAAGGAATCATATCATCACCATAAAGCATTTATAAAGTAACATTTACTGACCTGTCCTAGATCAAAGGAAGGCCCAAAATATGGCGACCTCTCAAAAGGATCAAATCCTGCAAACTGAGGAAAAAATATCATATTGAGTAGACTGAACGTCACCTATTCATGTGAACGTAAATGTTAAAAGTAATTTTCCCATGAACTCAAAATAAGAAGGGCTTACCCGGTACAGGACCTCTACTCCATAGTCCTGACGAGGTTGATCATTGTACTTCAGAGCATCAAGCTGGCATTGCACTGCTTCTTCTGCACTAAACTAAAGCAAGAATCATACTAGTTATATGCTATAGGTGTATATTAACAGTAGTGGTCCTTATATCAGATGTTAGAAACTTACATCTAGCCTCGGACCAAAGGGTTTTCTCCTGCGAGATTCAAGCCTGCAAAAGCACCAGATATACATGCATATCAGCAAAGACAAAAAGGAAGCAAGTTGAAAAAGCATCAAATGCTTCAGGATTAGTGCTATCAGAATAGGTTCGGTGCAGTTAAATATAAGCCAAACCATAGAATTCAAATTCTGCAGAGAATCGCATCAGACTGTTGGAATGGTTGTAAATGAAATGTCAATGCAGTTGGTTTATAGTTAACTCTACCTTAATCATAACATGAAATTCAAAATACTAAATGAACTTGAAAGTAGTTAACTCTTTTAGACTTCTGATTAAAGAGAAGTCTGCATACAGATTGAGTAAGAGGTGTGCTTGTCTATGGAGTTTACAATTTCTATGTTAGGATAAGAAAAACCAATGTTTAAACATGTTCTAATTGCTAAAGGATGTAGTGGCTTTAATGTGTTTCAGTGAGTTCTTCGGTCGTGTTAATGTCCAGTTTGTCAGTGCACTCCGCACTAAATTGAAGAATGTACATGGATGGTACAAAGTCAATGAGGAATATAATTGAGACATGATGAACTCACACAATCAAAATGCGTGTAGATTTACACAGTTCTGTTAAACAAATCTACAATATGTTATTTGTAGGCCACCTCCACTGTACCTTGAACACCAGACACGAGGTGGAAAACTTGGAAATTCTCCAAAAGTCTAGAGGGAAGGAAATGTCAATGTGCAAATTTATTTGGGAGTAGATGTGTATTCCATATATTTCATCGAACAGTCAGTTTTTGTTTTTAATGACAAAAATCTTGCAGCACTGTTATAATTTTTTCAACAAACTGAAAGCATGTTTACTCAGCTTATGCATATCCTTCAGGAAATTACTGTCACCAAATTGAAAGCTGCACATACAAGAGGCAGACAGACACGGGTCTTTTTTCGGACAGGGATGAACATAACAAAAATTTCCTGGAGAATCATGTCTATAAATAATGGCCTAGAGCACAAGTAACACAGAAGGACTCCCCTACCCACTAGATAAAAACTGGATAGAAAATGGTTTTTAAAAAACTACCACATTAGAGACTAAAAAAACAGCTAAGCATCCCAAGGCCTGTTTTACTAGAGTTAGTCAATTGTCTGAAAGCAATGCACATAATGCAAGCTGATGAGAGAAACCATAACCATTAGTCCTTATGATCTTGAAGGTTTATTCAATCTTTTGGGAACCCAGTGAAGAAATATCTCTTCATTGCTTCACCTATATGAGGTTCACACTGTAAAACTCGATAGTATTCCCCGCATTGTCCATGTAACTAGGCTGACATTTACTACTTTAATATATAATGCATAAGCTTCTATGATTGACTACAAGCCTGTAAAGGGATGAATGATGATGTATGTCCTACGTGAGAAAAACGATGTATCACATCAACACTTGATTCGCTAAAATTCATTGCGAGATGAATGGATTCGGATCCTTTCCACTACAAAAAAGTAGTGGAGAGACCACTACTATATCACAACCGTTAATTTGTTTAATGGATGGTTGTGATTTGCTTTTGAGTGTAAATTAGGAAATGAGTGCAAAATCATGGTTTGGTGAGCATTAGATTTGGTATGAACCATAGCCACCCACCATACTAATCAACAACTATGATTAATGTAGTGGTCTCTCCACTAATTTTTTTAAAGAAAAGGATCCAAATTCAAAGTAAATTATGAATCATAAAGAACTTGAAAGCATGTTTCCATGTTCAGAACCAATTATCTAAATGTCCTTAATTCTCTAACATCAATAATATGTTTCTACACCCTGAACATTGCTCAAATACCATGTGCTAATGCTGAAATTTAATTTGTTTGGTAACACTATTTTCTATTTTCGCCTCAACACCAAGATCTAGTCTCATCGAACGACAGAAATAGATAATTTTTTTAACGTATTCCATACATGCCAATATCTATTATTTTCTTTTAACACGTTATTATAAATCTACCTATGAGGAGAGTGATACTAGGAAGTGTCACGTGATAACTAAGATAGACAAAGCCACATTTCCTTTGCACTCAAGTTACAACTGTTGAAACATGTGCTGCAAAGATAAGGCAAACTTGTTTTGTAAATTATAAGGACCTGGATTATGACGAGGGATTGGAAAAGTTCAAGTACAAATAAAAATGAAGAGACAGATGGTTGAGTAGTAGTTCCTAATAGTCATAGAAAGCAGGGAATAAGAAGTCTCATGAGATCGATCATAACTACTACTTCAAAAGTGCTTATAGATATGGTTAAGGCAATAAAAAAACATCTCAAAAGCAATGATTTGGTAGTTATGAGATACACTCTGTTGTGAAAATTACTTCCAACAGTACTTTTAGTGATTTCTTATGTGGGTTTAGGGATTTGTTAGCTGAATCTGTGAGTTTGAGGGAATTTTGGAACAAGATGCAAGTTTTCATGATTACCTTAAAACAAAGTGAATAGATTAGTTCTCTAAAGAGAAACTTTATTAAAACCGGTAATCGAAGATATTTAATCATTTATTACTCAACCTATTTTCTCCCAAATAGTAGTAGACTAGTTATGTGCTTGCATGCACTGACAGTGTGCAATCTTGCCTATTAGTTATCTAAGAAAAATATTTGTTAGGAGTACCTCTTGTGTTATAAACATTACCTATATGATTGCTTGTCATGAGAAAACCGAATACACCAGTTAAGAGGTGATGAGATTATAGTTAATGGAGCAAAGAAGACTAGAGGTAGATCTAAAATAACTAGGTTGGTTTGAAGCAATTAAGAATGATATGATAATAGCTAACAGAGGAGATGACCCATAATAGAAAATAGAAAAGAATGGAAGAATAGTATTCATGTAGCTGACCTAGAAGTTTGGGTAGAAGCTTTTACGTTGTTGTTTGTAAAAGCAATAGTTTCAACTGGTTTTTGAACATTGTTTATACTGATGAAGCCCTCAAGTGAACATTTTTTATAATCCACCATAATACTACTTCCAAATTAATAAAAACCACAATTGAATCTTTCCGATCCCCTTAAACCCCCATAAATTACTCAGGAACGAGAATTATGAATCTTAAATATGAAATTTGAAACTCTACTCCCTAGCACATTCTTAGTGTTTGCCTCAAGGGAAGGATTAAGAAATAGAAAGTGGAAACACAAAAAAAGAAGTTATGTACAAAAAAGGTACATTTACAGCCTCCTTTGTCTAGCAAGCAAAACAACGAGAATGGAAAGTGAATACACCCTCTTGGCTTTTCATCTATTGGGATCAAAAGTGGAAATAAAATGTGAAAGAGAACTTTTACAGTTAAAACACATTTAATTGCTCTACACTATTTTATCACAAAAAGTATTTTCTCGGAGAGTAATTTCTCACTTTGCGGTTGTTTATGTACTTCAAACTGCTAAAAGAAATGCCACTAAAGTCAGCATATGGCGTGATTAGTTACATAATTTGGTTTGAACCTAGGCCTCTTAGGAGAAAAGGTTATATATAACATCCCTGAATTACGCCAAAGGATAACAACAATTGTCTATCGGGTAATTTAATTTGGTCATTTACAACATATATATCCCGAATATCCAAAAAAAAGGATACTCTCTGATGAACCATTAGAATTAGAAATTCTATCTGCTTCTTCCAAATGGGAAACACTAAATGACGTATCACCCTCTCCATTGTCAAATGAACATCTCTGTGACATGGCTTGGAGCTCATTCTTAAGTGAAACATGTAACACCGGAAGAACTTGACCTTGTTTCAGCTTTCAGGATCATATATGCAAATATCACACCTCAAACTGATGTATCATCTCTGGAGTCTTTCGTCTAAAGATTAACAAATACAGGGAATAAAAATTCAGACTCTATTTCATACCAGTATTTATGACAAATATGGATATTCAACATCAGTCTATTTAAAGTTATGTGCATGATTTATGAATTGTATGGTAGTATAAACTATGTGGAATGTCCACTATAAACATGAAATAACTGACTACAGACAGATGAAGACTAAATAAAATGTTTCACGTATAAAATAACCCAACAGATACAGGTAAAAAAATTTCTTCCAAATTATCAAAATTTTCAGTCTCAATTTCATCAATATCAGACAATAGATAGTTGGATTCTCATATATCCAGACAAGATCACATATCTTCAGTCATAATTCCTAGAAAAAAGTATGAGTATGGTAAACTCAAATATCTCATGCGCAGTTTAACTCAACTTTTTCTCATAACATTAGCAGTTCAGTGTTATTATCCATACATAATACGAGACCTGAAATGACATGAGAAATTTTCAGTGCCACTGTGCACAGATAAACTAAACCATACAAAAAAAATTCAGTGAAATTCTATGCCAATTTTAGATCGAAACTAACAAAGGATAAGATCAGCATGAATGAAAAAAAAAATAAGGGAAAAATAGGAGGGGAAAAAAAAAAGAAATCAAAACTGACCAATCAGAGGAGAGGTAATCTGGGACGGGGACATCCGATGAAGCTCGGATTCGAGTCGAGGGTCTCGAGCGATTGCTGATGAGGGGGTTTGAGAACTGAGAGATCGATTGAGGACAAAATAGAGCCATTATTTTTCTTTTCTTTTCTTTTTTCCCCCTTAATATTCCCTCTTATTTATTTATTTATTTTTTCTTTTTAATAATGTGCTTAGCTCTCGTTCGGTCGCCAGAAGGCCCAGAACTTCGGGACCATTATCAGGAGTCACTCGCTAGCACGTGACTAATGAGATGAAATCACGTGATGATTGTCCTGGTTATTTTGCTCGCAGGCTGTTAGAATAGGCCCGCAGAATTTGGTTTAGGCCCATGGTGTTGCTTGAGGCTCAAAAATAAAAAATTGCTCCTAATTTCTCATATTTTTTTCCTGGTTATTTTTTAAGGGAAAATTATGTGAAGGCCCCAAAAGTAACATCTTCATGTGCTGCAGCCCCTTCACTTTTTCCTCATGTGGTTCAGCCCCAAGAAGAGTGACATCTTATGCTGCAGTCCTTTTTAGCAATTATTACTTGCCAACTAAGCATAGAGAGAGAATAAAAAGTAAAAAACCCCCAAAATGCCCTTATCTACTCTATTCTTTCATGTTAGGTCTATTTAAAGTTCGTGTTAGGTCTATTTAGAGTTCTTGTTAGGTCTAATATTTCAGTTCAATTTAATTCATATTAAGTTTAATTTAATGTTAAGTCTAATTTCATGTTAAGTTTACTTTAAATCTAATTTCATGTTAAGTCCAATTTAATTCATATTAAGTCTAATTTAATTCATTTTAAGTCTAATTTAAATCATGTTGTGTCTAATTCAACTTGTTTTAAGTCTAATTTAATTGGACTTAACATGAAATTAGACTTAATATGGTTTAGATTAGACTTAAAATGAATTTAACATGATTGAAATTAGACTTAAAATTTCGTGTTAAATCTAATTCATGTTAGGTCTAATAAAAATTCGTGTTAAGTCTAATTTCATGTTAGGGCTAATAAAAGTTCATGTTAGTTCTAATAAAACTTCGTCTTAGTTCTATTTCATGTTCGTGTTAGTTCTAATACAACTTCGTGTTAGTTCTATTTCATGTTCGTGTTAGTTTTAACTCATGTTAGGTCTAATTGATATTCATGTTAGTTCTATTTTTGTGTTCGTGTTAGTTCTAACTCAGTTAGTGTTAGTTCTAATTCATGAATTTATAAAACAAATTCTATAAGCTCATATAAGCGACTTGCAAGTTACTCCACGACATCATGACATAAAGAGGGAGGTAGAGCCAGTTTAGAAATAGCTATCTGGTAGAATCCGTATTTCAGCGGACACAAGTGAAAACCTGCCTTAAATTTTAACTTTATCTTCCTTGAATTTTTTTAGTTATTTCAAATTTAATCGGGTATTCCATCTTAATTTTACTTTTTGACTTCTCATGAAACGGAATAACCATTTTTAAAAAAAAACCCCTTCAATTCTGTGGATCAATGAAGGGAAACAATAGTTACGTACTGATTTAAACAGCTGCTTCCAGAACTAGAACGGGGCGTTCATGATAGCTTCATCTCCTGGGAAATTCCTGATAGCTCCATTTTCCAACCCTTGCGAAGTCAAAGCATTTACAACAAGTCAAAGATAGGTTCATAAATGCTCGTCCGCTCGACGCATGCACTTTTTAATCTATCGTATCAAAGGATGTCCACAACAAAGCAATTGTTGAAAGGGTGGCACTAGGGTCACAGCCTCAACCACATCTCTAATCACACCCCCCTCTCTCATTGCTACAGTGTACCGGGCCCCACATGAGATTTTAAAATCTCATGTAGGGCCCGGTGCACTGTAACAACGAGAGAGAGGGTGTGGTTGGAGGTGTGGTTGGGGGTGTGCCTCTGTCATTTTTCTTGTTGAAAACAAAATGTCCAAGCCATTAATAAAATAAAATAAAAGGCTGGGAATATTATACCAACGTGAGGGAATCTTTTCAAGCCAGTGACGATGATGATGAGACGAGGCTTCACATGAATACTGTTTGGATGCCAGTTCACACTGAAGGGATGAAGCCAGTTAAATGAGAAATTTCCAAAGGGAAGCGTCCATGTGCAGGATGCAATGAAGTTTGTAAAATTTAATATTCAAAATGATAAAAGGGCTTCTCGAAGAAAAATGAAAGTTTGCTCAGAATGACAGTGACAAGGCTTTGTACGCATTTGTTTCGTGCGCCTTTCATTTTTGTTCAATTGGAATTTTACTTTGATGCTTCTCATTTTTCCGGTAGAAAGTATTAGGGTCTGTTTGTTTGCTCCAAAAAAACGAAAATGGGTTGCCACCTCACCTTTCAAGAAAACCTCCATGTGCCACATGGGTTTTTGTTTTCAATAGGTTTCCATTTCAAGTGTTTGTTTCGTCTTTAATTTTCAAGAAATGAAGTGCCACATGTGTTGCCACCTCAATTTTTCAAGAAATGTGTTTTCACACCAAATTGGGTTGAAAACACTTGGAAATGTTCCATCTCAGAATTATTAATTAGTAAAAACACTGTTTGAATAGTCATGAAGAGTAAAACGAAATATTTAAATGTCACATTTCTCATTTCCTTTTTCTTGTTCTTAAACAAACACAAGAAATAAAAATCAAAGCACTGTTACTATGGAGGCTTTTTTTTGTCTGTTTGTGTGATTTGGCAGTGAAAAGGAACATTTTCTTTGCGAAACAAACAAAAGAAATGAAAACTAGGAAATGTCTTGAAATGTCTTGAATTCATTTCAAGAGCTACATTTCCATTTCCGAATTTTTTGTAGAAATAGCCAAACAGGCCCTTAAGGTAAAAGTGCAAGAGGCCATTCTTGTTGTGGGGAAATTTTCAAAATAGATCAATTTAAAATTCTATTTCTCAAAGTCAACCCATTGCTAACTTGTTTATAAAAATCTACATAGTTTCGATCACGTCAGAACGCGGTCAAAAGCTAAGTCGGTTTAGGAAAAAAACACTACTTTATAATTAGTTGGGGTTGTGACCCCGACTAATTAGAAGCCACCTTAAATTAGTCAGGCTCCCCAACCACAGCTAATTTGAGCTGCCTTTTAATTAGTCGGGCTAGTCGGGGTTGGCGACCCCGACTAATTAGAAGCCACCTCAAATTAGTCAGGCTCGCCAACAACGGCTAATTTGAGCTGCCTTTTAATTAGTCGGGATTAGTCAGGATTTGTAACCTCGACCAATTAGAAAGCAGTTCAACATAGTTTGGGTCGCTAAGCCCGACTAGATTTGAACCCGCTGCAAAATAAATGGGGTTGCCAAGCCTCGCTAATTAGTAGAGACTTTGGTCTCTTTTGCCCTCAAATCTTTTAAGCTAAGTGTATATAATGGTCAGGGTTGTTAACCCCATCCATACCACAGACACCACCTCCGCATTCTTTCCACTTTGATAATTTCTCTGTTACATCACATCTAGTCCAAATCAAATTTCAATCATAAACACAATAAAGAACCTCATATAACCACACATGGTAGTTGCACCACCGTGTTGCTAGGAACAAACCGCTATAACATGCAAACATGGTAGTTTTTACAATTGGGCATGTTTGAATTGCATGCACATTGTGTTCCTCGTAAATTGATGGTGTAATGATAAGTGCATTTGTTTATAGCGTGCTATTTATTTATAGCAAATCTAGTAATATTTGTTGATCTCGCCTGCACGACTTGAGACCTTACCTCTCTTTATTTTTTGGTGTCAACCCCGTCACTCATTTTGCTCCATCCTCTTGCTGCTTGACAAAAAATATTGATTAAGTCTATAGAATATCCTTGCAACCAACACATGTATAGGCATCGCTCAAGCTCCCTTAAGTATACCATTGAAGCCATCGGAATAGTTAGTTGCCAAAATACAAAACCGATTACCTTTGTCTTCACTTAGTGCCCACTGATCGATGTATTCTGCTCAAATTACTCTTAATCCAGTCATGTACAGCTTGAGATGTTGCCTTAATTCGATCTCTATTCAATCATACACACATGTTTTCGGTGCACAACCAGCTTCCTATGAAAAATTTTATAAATGCATCTCCCCATGCCTCTTTTTAAAGTTATCTTTAATGTGTCTTAAGCAATATCTATGATAGTAATGAGAACCAAAAATCTTATGCAATGCTTTAGGTTTTCATACTATCAGATATAAAGTAATTTTCCTAAGAGGTAACATACTAAGAATATATAACTAAATACAAGCGAACAGTGTAATGACCATGAATTTTCGATACTAGTTAAAATAATTTTTTGGTATTTTAAAATATTAAATTGTTATTTTCATAAGAGTATTTGTATTTTATCGTTTTTTTTAGAATTTTTCTACGATTTAAAAATCCAATTTTATATTTATTTAATGATTTTTATAATTATAAATTAACTTATTACAGTAAAAATCTTTTAAATTAATATTTGTTTTATTATTATTATTGTCATTATAAGTATTGTATTAATTATAATATTTTTTCCTAATTATTTCTTATCTAATTCTTAATTATTTAACCCTAACCCTAAATCTATACTCCTCCCCCCCCCTCTCTCTCTCTCTCTCTCTCTCTCTCTCTCTCTCTCTCGGCCACACCAACCCTCTCTCCTCTTGTTCTTCCTCTCCTTGCCCACAACCTCCCACTCCCGCAGCCCCACGCCAGCCTCTCTCTTCGCCAAGCCCCTCCTCTGCTTGCCGCAATCCGCCCAGCTCGCACCAAGCCCTGCCCTCTCCCCTGCGACCCTCCTTTCCCTTAGCACGCACCACCACCCTCACCGCCTCCCTCCTCCCTCCTTGTCGTAGTCTCCCTCCCCTCAGGCCCATCGCCACCAACCCAGTCCTCCCCACTCGTCGTCTCCTCCCCGCTTCGCCTGCTGACCCCGTCGCCCAGATCCGACCACCACCGCCACCTCCTCCCCCGCTTCTGCCTCTCTTCCAACGACCATTCCCCGATGCTACCAAACAGTCCCTCAACCATCACCAACGTCACCGTCCAGTTCCACAAATCAGCCCGACGAACCGCTGCGCGCGTCACCGAAACAGCAAGCTGTAAGCAGCGTCGTCGTCCTCTCGTCATCAGGCCCCTTGGCCTCGCTGGCAAGATCCTGCTTCTCTTGTCTCGTCATTTCATAATTTATATCTATCATTAAATTAGATGCATATATT